CAGGTAAAAAACGTAAAAAACCACTGTCGGCGACTTGAAAAAAAGGCTGTCAGGTGCCGTGGCCTAGGTTTCTCACTGAAAATCCTCGTCCCCCGGCGGCACCTTTTTTTGAATTTTCTTCCTTTTCAACGCCGTTTTTCGGGGATTTTGGATTTTTTTTGAATTTTTTCGCAATAATATTCGGAAAATAGATAACTTTTAACACATTTTAATGCGATAAAATTTTTTGGTCGGAGTCCCCCTTTAAAGTTGGAAGTTGGGGGTGGCGTTCTATTTCAATTGAAGAGAACTTTGGGTGTCAACATAAGTGCTAATGCTTGGTCTGAGAACCTTATTTTTGTAGCTAGCAACTTTTAAAAAGCTTCAATTAAAATAGCTTTAAGCAACAGCCAAACAAGAACATCCTTCAGAAAATTTGAAAAGATAGTGACCAGTTTTTTTAGAAATTTCAAAAATTTCGAAATCTCATTTCTTGACTACTTTTTTGGACAATGTTCTCAAACGGAGATGTCGTTCGATTTAAAGGAGGCCAGACATCAAAATAAAAGTTTTCCTGATATTTTGCCTAGAGAACCCCCATGAGGGGTTGAACTCCACAGGTCCTGGGCCGCATACGCATAATGGATGGGCGACGGAGGACGCGCCGATGAATTGGGTACAGGGAAAGGACGCCGGTATGGGGCATATACGGGGCATATGGGGCACACCGCCGCCGCAAAGCATCTCCTCGCCTGGCTTGCTGGCACTCGATGAAATGAACTAAAACGTTGGTTGGGGGTTCCTAGAAGTATCAGTTAAGTTCTATTGTAATGTGATTTTGTTCAGGTCTTCCGATTTCGTACTTTTCCTTTATTATTCCATATTCTTTTATATTTTGAACGACATATTACTGATTTTTTGAAACTCAATGTTTTGGTTTTGAAAAAGACTTATGACAGTTTCCATTTAAATTTGATATGCAATCAAAAACAGAAGAAAATGGGAAAAAATTCGCTAAGAATTGTTTTTTTTCATTTGTTCAAAAAATGTCTCACTTTCACTTTTTTTGAAATTGCATGAAAAATTGAAAATTTGTATAATTTACATTTTGTAATTATTGTATACTTACCAACTTACCTTTTACTCCACCTGAAAATACGATTTTCACAATAATTACAAAGTGAAATCAAAAAATCTCAATATCACCTATTTTGGCGAAAAACATAGCAATTGACGAGTGAAAGACATGTTTCTGCAAGAATTCAGCGATTTTTTATTCTGCCATAGCTCTTTTTCACAAAAAACATCGAAGGAATAATCGAAAAACCAGAAATGTAGGCTCGAATTGACGAAAAATTGACAAAGTGGCCGGTGTGGATTTACGGTAAAAAATGCGCGCATCCGGGATTTCGGAGTGTTGTAGTCGGCCTACCGTATCAGACCCATATCGCACATATCGCCCACCCACCCAGAATCCATCTAGGATACGCGCGCATTCGGAACACTCGATTCAGCCTCTCCCGCATCGCACACATATGAGACTCATCGCAGCTCGTTGTTCGCGATATGTGTCAAACGGACTTCTAGAGAATCGCATATGGATCGGGCCCTTTATGCGCATCATCGCCCAGGACCTGTGTCATGACAGGCAGCTCAGGGGTACATCGCCGCTACCGGCTGAGCTACAGGGGCGCAAAAACGGCTGAAGACCGATGGCCTACATAAGCGCGGCGCCATTTCGTCCCCCAAACTGTCCCCCAAAATTTTTGCTGTCTCGACTCCTTTAAAAATGACACAAAAAACAAGCAATCAAATTTGGAGTGCGAAAAAAACCAATAATTCATCTGTGAATTGGCCAAGTTTCAAATTATTTGATCAACTTTCAGCTGAGTTATCGCATGTCAAAGTTGTTTCCTCTCATGAAAATCACAAAAAAATTTTACACAGTTCATCTTTGTCCAATCATAACAATACCTAGACTTGAGGAATCGCTTTGAAAGTTTCAGTAGCTTTGAATCAAACGTAAAGTTATATTTCTACCAGTTTTCGTGCTTCCAAGATGCCTATGTCTACAGATATACTCGTACATATTTATCAGTCCGGGTGATTAATTAAAACTCTCTAAACTTTAAAACCCCCTCACTTTTCAATTTCACTTCCGCTACTCAGACAAACACCTACATCAATATCAACTTTTTTTTGAACCCAGAACTGAACCCTTTCATTCATTTAATCAACGTTTTACAGAGACTACGAAAATGTCCGTCGACGTCATATTCCTGTTCTCCTAATTATTGCAACAAATTGCATTTCAATTCCATATGCTTTTGAAACACTGAATAATCAAGTATCTCTAATTTTAACTTGTATTCAAAGTTTCATGAATGGGGCGATTATTTTTTTTGGGTATCTAGTTCTATGGAGAGTTAATATAGTCTGGAGAGATAGGATAAGCAGTTTGAAATGGTCACATAATGAGAAGTATTCGTTGGCGAGGAAGTTTCAAATCGAGGAGAATATTAAAAGTTTGAGGGTGAGTTTTGCGAATTTGCTCTATTGATGTACAACAACGGTCAATCAGATAGTTGATGATTTTGAGCCATTTTTCCCATTTTTGTAACTATTAAATTTCCTACAATTCTGTCTAAAAATGATATTTCTAACGCTTCTAGGAGCCGAGATAGACCGGCTTCAAGTTTTGGAAACTAGAGGCGCAGACGACGAGACACGCTGCGTCTCTAACCTCAAAAACTTCAAATGGTCGTATCTCGAGTTCTAGATGAGCTAAAAATCGGTATTCGGAGAGAATTGCACGGTTTGAAATGAATTTTCAGATTATTTGTGGATTTCTGAAAAACGCATGTCTTTTTTCACGGTATCAGTAGAAAACCAGATAAAAAGGGGTGTCCTCTAGAAATCAACAAAGAATGAACTTTCGAAAAATTCTGCAAATGCAAAGTTTTTAATGTATATCTGCTTTACACCCTACAAAATTTTCAAAGCGATCGGAGACTTGACAGCCGATCTCCAGACTCTTGAAAATTGTCAAAAAGAATTTTAACAAATTAAGATCTTTTTATAAATAATCTGAAAATCCATTTCAAACCGTTCAATTCTGTTTGAAAAAATTTTCTAGCTCATCCAGAAATCGAGATACGTGCATTTGAAGTTTCCAAGAGTAGAGACGCACCGTCCCTCGTCGTCTGCGTCTCTAGCCCTCTGAAAAACTGAAAACTATGTTTCTGTATTTCAAAGTGATTGGAAACTTCACAGCCGAGCTCCAGATTCCTGAGAATGGTCAAAATCAAAGGTACTGTATGTTCTGAAAATTTCAGCTCGCTCGAAAGCTGGTTATCTCTGCTGTAATTTTCATCTCCGTCGTCATTGTTCTTCTAATTTGTCTCGGCTTCGAATTGACTCATGGATATGACACATTCTTTGTTTACGCATTGGACAACGCCATTTTTTTGTAAGTCTCTGTAACCATATTCTAAAAATTAACGTCCGAAAATTTCCAGGCCCGCCTTGGTGATGTGTATGACTTTGCTGTGTTGCTCGCCGTCATGGAAGGAAAAGTTTTTGAATGGAATTCCGAGATTCCGGAGGAGATTCCCGAATTCAAAAATTTCTCATTTACAAGTAGTACGGGAGACGAAATCATCGGCTGTGAAGGAAACGGAAGTGTACTTTGAGCAATTAAAAAATGCATGGACATAAATTTTGTTGGGTTACTGTAATAAAGTTTTTTTTAAATTGAAATTGGGTTGTTATTCAAATTTTGGGAAGCCAGTAACATCGGAATTTCTTCATAATCTCAGAATTTCAAAACTTCGGAACTTCAAAATTTTCGAATTTCAGAATTTCAGACTCTCCGAATCTCGAAATCTCGGCATTTCCGAAGCTCAGAATCTCAAAATCTCAGTATCTCAGAATCTCAGAATCTCCGAATCCTAGAATTTCGGATTTTCAGAATCTCAGAATTTCACATTCTCTAAGAGTATCTGAATTTGAAATCTTCAGAATCTCAGAATCTCAGAATCTTAAAATCTCAAAACTTCAAAACTTCAAGATTTCGTAATTTTAGAATTTGATGATTGCAGAATATCTGAATCTCAGAATCTAAGCTTCTAAGAATTTTAGATTTTTAGAAAAATTCGTGAATATCAATAATTCCGAATTTCAGAATTGAAAATTTTCCGAATTCCAGAATCTCAGCGTTCTTGAGTTTCAGAACGAATTTTAGAATTTCAGTCTTTCGAAGTTTAATAATTTCGAAATATAAGAATTCCAGAATATCAGTATTTCAGAATCTCAGAGTTTCAGTTTTTCAGAATTTCAGAATTTCAGAATTTCAGAATAACATAATTCTAGAATAACAGAATTTCAGGATAACAGAATTTCAGAATCATCTATTTTTGTCTTCATCAGTACCAGGAAACCCAGGTCTTGGTATCAAAATTCATAATTCTACAAAACAAAAATTTTCAGTTCTTCTCATTTTTTGATCAGAAGACGTCGACAAGGCATTACATCGTCTGTTTTGCGAACAGGTGAAAAGAATAGCTAGCTCCTTATACATTTTCCAATTTTTTTTCATTATTATCAGCATAATTTTTCCTTCATTTCCCTTCAAAAGCCACTATGATTATTGCCATACAAAATTCATCTGAAACCCTTTGGATTCCAGTTTTCTCTTTAAATGATAGAGCATTCGAATCTCCAATTTATATAATTTTCGCTATTTTTCAACTAATTATCTACTTAATTACTGCCTACGTAATTATTCGGACCTGCTCAATCTTCCTATCCATCCGAATATTCCACGAGAACAAAAATTATCTGATGGCAGTATTTTTATTCCAATGGTTTGAAGCAATTCTAGCCAAATCTGTGATGATTCCCTATCAAATTGGTCTAATTGTAATTGGAAATGACCCAAAAAAGTCGTTCTATTCGTGGTGGAGCTCTTCGGAGCAGGAAATGGCTTTTGTGAAAAATACGCAAGAGATACTTCCTTTGTACATTGCTAGCTACGTTTTTCGTCATTATATGTTTTCAATGTTTTTTGGAATTATGGCCATTGGGTTTGAGAGAGCATGTGCAACTTATTATATTCAGTGAGTAGTGAATGGGAGGTGATATCTGGGATAGTGGTTTTCAGATGGTTATAGATTAAAAAATCAGGAGCCGGGAATCTTTTTTGTACTTGGTCCGGCAGATGAAAATAGCTTTTGTACCGATTTTTAATTGACCAACATAGTATTAAATTCCAAGGTTCCAAGATTCTTAAAGGTGAGGGGACAGGAGATTTTTCGTAGTTTTTTTGTAGCTAGAGTATGCATTCTACCGTCACGGTGTACAACGCTAAATGTCACTCTGCGTACAGCTGTCGTCCTCGCTTTTATGTATGCAATCGGGCGTGCGCTATCTCTTTGCCCGCGTAGCTCAGTCGGTAGCGGCGCCGCACCCTCAATCATCGCCCTCACAAGTTCAACTCCTCGAGGGGCATCTTTGAACGGATTTTCGAGAACATTATTTTTTCATGTCCCCCCACCTTTAAACACTGAAAATCTGAAATTCTGAGATTGAATCCGAAAACTTCAGCAATCCTTAGTTTTTCAATAAAACAAAAAGCCAGAAACTACAGTAATCCCCATTTCGAATATTTCAAATGACTTCAGAAACAAAAGTAATCCTCAATTTTTCAAAAAAAAGACTCAATCCAAGAACTACAGTAATCCTTAATTTTTTTTTTTGAAAATGATTCCGAAAATTACAGAAACCTTCAGTTCTTTAATTAGTAGATACAGTACCAACAAGCTACACTTACAAGCTACAAACTACAAGCTAGCTAAAGAAGCTACAAAAATTGATAATGTGTCTCAATCATCTGTGTTACTGTACTTCTAAAAAATTTCAGAGACTACGAATGCGTCCGCCGTCGTCACATCCCTATATTCCTTATCATTTTCGTCAATTTTACAACAATCCCTTATGCCTATTTTTTAATCCATAACATGATCCCATTTATGGTTGTCTACGCACATTGGGCTTTTTGTATTATTTCAGTCTTTGTCGGATATTTTGTCATTTTAAAAATCAATTTTGGATTCCGAAATCAGTTGAAGAAGAACTGCGATCATCGGAAATATACGCTGGCTAGAAAATTTCAAGTGGAGGAGAACATTAGAAGTTTGACTGTGAGTTTCAAACCTGTAATAGAAGGGCACCCTCTCTTAACCAGCTTTGAGCTGCAAAAACGCGCTTTTCGGGTGATTTTTGGCCAGTTTTGAGTATCTCAAAATTTTGGAGGGTGTAAAACTGACCTAGATTGAAAACTTTTCATTTATAGAATTTTTCGAAAATCCCTTTTATTTTTGATTTCTGAAAGAGCCCCATTTTGGCCGATTTTTGAACTGAAAAAGTAAAAAACAGTTCCTTCAAAAATCGGCAAATAACTGGAAAACAACACATTTGAAAAAAAAACTGTAAATGCAAATTTTTCAATTTAGGTCTGTTTTACGCTTTTGAAAATTTTCAAAATGATCAAAAACTTCAATTCCGAGATCCAGACTGCTGAAAATGGTCAAAATGACCGAAAATCAACTGAAAAACGCGTTTTTGTTTATCTTATCGACCGGATGCTGTATCTCAGTTCCTGTCAAAGATATCGGAAAGTTGTCAACTGATCAATTTTCCATCATAATATTACCAACATGTTATCAGTTGATACATTTTTGTTATCTTTTATAGGAGCCGAGATAAATTGAGCCCAAACTTGACTAAGAATTTTCAGATTGCCAGAAAATCCGTCTACGTGATTATGGTTTACATTTTTCTGTGTCTTTTATTTTTCAAAATTCTGATGAGTGGGATCTTACCAGAATATAACATAGTTTTAGTTCATATTCTGGATAGTCTCTTGATGTTGTAAGTTGACATTCAAATCTTTTAAGATATTTTTTGATAAAAAATTTTTCAGACCCGCTCTTGTGATGTGTATCTCTTTACTCTTATCCTGCCCTTCGTGGAAAGAAGAATTCCTAAAAAATCTGCCGATAATTGGAAATCATAGAAGTTCAAGAATTGGAAATTATGACTTCCGCCAGAAAAAATCAGTGGTTTCTGAGTCGGAAGTGTATTTCGAGCAGTTGAAAAGTTCCTGGAATTGCTGAAAACAACCTGCGATTCCCAGAAATCTAATAAAATTCTGTGAATGTTTAAAGGTGGGGGGACAGGAGATTTTACGGGGGATTTTCGGGGCCAGAGTATGCATTCTACCGTCACGGTGTACAACGCTTAATGTCACTCTGCGTACAGCTGTCGTCCTCGCCTTTATGTATGCAATCGGGCGACCGCTTTCTCTTTGCCCGTGTAGCTCAGTCGGTAGCGGCGCCGCACCCTCAATGCTCGTCCCACACGTTCAACTCCTCGAGAGGCATATTTAAACGAAATTTCGAGAACATTATTTTTTCATGTCCCCCCACCTTTAAATGAAGTTATTTTAAAGGTGGGGGGACATGAAAAAAATAATTTTCTCGAAATTCCGTTCAAAGATGCCCCTCGAGGAGTTGAACTTGTGAGGACGATGATTGAGGGTGCGGCGCCGCTACCGACTGAGCCACACGGGTAAAGAGAAAGCGCACGCCCGATTGCATACATAAAGGCGAGGACGACAGATGTACGCAGAGTGACATTAAGCGTTGTACACCGTTACGGTAGAATGCATACTCTAGCTACAAAAAAAACTACGAAAAATCTCCTGTCCCCCCACCTTTAAGTGAAAATTTTCAAAATTGAAATTAAATTAATAATTTTTTTATTAAAATTTTTTTAACTGAGTTTTGATTGTCTGAAACATTTCCTAATGGAAAATATATAACGTTCCAGTTGAAAAATTTCTAGAGAGCAAAGGTGCTTCTAGACTTTCTATGGCATGTTTGACGAGAGTCCATTTTGAAGTTTCTGACTTTTAAAAAACTTTGCTTCCTTGTTCCCAGACTTTCCAACTTGTTTTTCATTTTCCAAAACTTGCCCAAATTTTGGCAAAAATTTGCACAAAACTTGGGTAAAGGTTGCCCAAAACTTTCCAAAAACTTGTCTAAAGCTTACCCAAAGTTTGCTCAAAACTTAGCCAAAAATTACCCAAAACTTGCCAAAAATTTGTCGAAAGCTTGCCTAAAGCGTGCCCAAAACTTGGCTGAAACTTGCCCAAAAACTTGCCTAAAGCTTGACCAAATCTTGCCAAAACTTGTCCAAAACTTGCCTCAAGCTTCCCTTAAACTTGCCCACAACTTCCCCCAAGCTTGCCAAAAGACTTGAACAAAGCATGCCCAAAACTTGGCTGAGCTTGTTCAAAGTTTGCTCAAACCTTGCTGAAATCTTGCCCAAATCTTTTCTAAAGCTTGCCCAAAACCTGCCCGAAATGTGTCCAAAACTTGCCCAAAACTTGCCCAAATCTTTTCTAAAGCTTGCCCAAAACTTGCCTAAAGCTTATTCAGTTGTCCAAAGTTTCTCCAAAAGTTGTCCAAAGTTGTCCAAAGTTTCTCCAAAAGTTGTCCAAAGTTGTCCAAAGTTTCTCCATAAGTTTAAAGATTGCCCAACACTTGCCCAACCAAAATTTTCCCAAGACTTGCCCAAAAGTGGGCTTAAGCTTGCACAAAACTTGCCCAAAACTTGCCTAGAAGTTGCCTAAAGCTTGCACGAAAATTGCCTTAAGCCTGCCCAAAATGTGTCTAAAATATGGCTAAAGCTAAGCTCACCCAAAGCTTGCCCATAACTAAACTGAAACCATGACAAAACTTGCCTAAAACTTGCCCAAAACTTGCCCAAAACTTGCCCAAAGCTTACCCAAAACTTGCCCAAATCTTGGCCGAAGATTGCCCTAAACTTGCCCAAAACTGGGTTAAAGATTTCAAAAATTTTATTCCTTCTATTTGTAGCCATTTTCCAACCCCACCCACCATAAATTGTTTTTTTCCACCCCTAGCACCTGCTGTGTATTTTTTCATATGTTCCCCGTTTTTTTTCAGATTGCTAACCCGTTATATTTTGCTCTCTGTTTCCATGATTGTATCCTTTTACAACTCATCTGACCTTCTCTGGCTTCCAGTTTATTCGATAAACGATCGAATTCATGAATCCTCATTTTATGTCATTCTCGGATGTTTTCAAATTGTTATCTACTGTTTCACTGGTTATGTAATCATCAAAACTTGCTCAATATTCCTCCGAATCAAGCTCTTCCATGAAAATATCAATATTCTAATGACTTGGTTTCTGTGCCAATGGTTTGAGGCCATTCTAGCGAAATGTGTCATAATTCCTTTAACATTGATATTATCAGTTTCGCTTTTTTTCATATATATTTTTTCTCAATTTTCAGCTTTTCCAGAAAACATTTTTTTTCCAGATGACTGAAAGAGAATTCACTCTGAAACATATATTCACTGATGTTGAGAAATTCGAGCAAAATCAAGATCTCTTTAGTCCAAAAAAAGAAAATTTTGGAGTCATATGGTAGGTCTTATTGCTCATTTTTTAAATTATATTTGTATGTGAATTCAATTTTAGGAAAATTAGAATCCGGAAACATAACGAACACCTCGCAATGTTTTTATGCGCAAATGTGACGGGAAATCAAGAAATTCACACTAATTATATCCTGAGAAGGGAAAAAATCATTCAAAGTCTAGGAGTGATTTATTCAAAAATAATGGGGACGACTGGGATAGTTGGGGTTGGTTCTATTTTATTGAATGGAGAACTTTGGAAGATGAATATCTGGATGATGGAAAAATGGAAGTGGAACTTCATGTGAAAATAAATAAAATGTATGGATTTCCAAGAGAAGAATTAAGAAGCTTTGGGGAGGAAATGAAACAATTCTCCGATGTCACATTGAAAGTAAAAGAGCGGAAATTCTATGTTTTGAAGTTGGTGAGTCATTTTTTCAGTTTTTGATTTTCATCTATTCAACTTTTTCAGTACCTCTCCTCTCATTCTCCATATTTTGCAACTTTATTTTTGGGAAGATTTCAAGAATCTGAAAAATCAGAAATCGAATTAAAAGATGTCAATCCTCAAGACTTCCAATACTATCTTGAAGTTCTACATCTAGAAAATGGAATCGATGGTGGGTTACTGTACTTACCGTATATTTTGAAAAGAGCAATTTCAGATGATACTGTCCAAGGAATTTTATCAGTGGCTGATATGTTCGACACTCCTAAAATTGTCAAAAAATGTGAAGAATTTTTGGTCAAGGAATCAAAAAAGGGATTGAAAGAAAAGTTGGAAATGGCTGGAAGTTACAGGTTGGAAGAACTGAAAGTGAGTGTTCAGAAGATAATTTTAATCTGAAAAAATTGATCTTTTCAGAAAATGTGTCTGGATCAAATCAAATCAAGAGCGGATATTAGTTCAGTTATTTCAGAGGATCCCAGTGAAATGGATCCAAAAATTCTTGCAGAGCTTCTCAAAAAAGCACTTGTTCTCAATTGAATTATTGTTCTTTGTTCGCAATTCATTAGGAATAAAAAAAAAGATCTAGATCATTTAGCAAAACGTTGGCAGGTTGTAATGAACCATAATACTGAATATATTACTCACTGAAATATTTCATACGTTGAATAAATTTGTGTTGAAAAAATGTCAAAAAATGTAAAAGACTTTCGGAACAACCTAATATTTCATCATTCACAAACAGAAAAATGATTCGGGAGAAGGGTGGGATAGAATCAGGCATCAGAATGCGATTCAGCTACAATAAGAAGTAGAGAGAATAGTGGATCGGAGTTTGAAAGTGGAATGAAAAACTTAGAGTAGAATAAAAAATTACTAGGGGGAAATCAAAAAAAAGGAGGGGGAAATCGTCGGTGGTCGGATAGTGAAGAACATAAAAAGGTGTTGAGTGATGAGAGCGTAAACGAGATAATGTAAACGGGAGAGAGAGAGATATATTGCATTTCTGGTAAGCAATAAAGATTCAGTCTGATTTTTGTTCGAGTTGCTTCATCAGAAAAGTAGCAAAGTACTCCTTGATTCCGTCCTTCGAGTTACGGTAAACTTCCATCGTCGCGTGACAGTGAAGGCAACTATCTAATAGGGCATCTTCGTTGATTTCATGATCGGCAGTGATAACGTGCAAGTGTTCGAGTCTTTGCGCTGATCCAGTCATCCACAAGCGGAAGAATCGGTTGTATTTCTTGGGTCATCCTGATTGGGTGGAGTCTCAATTTATCGTGCCGCCCATTGAACTTCTGTCCGCTGATTTCCAGAATTTTTGTCATGTGGAGCGGTAAACAAGGGCCTTGGTAAGTCACATTGCTTTTTTTTTTTTGAATTCCAATTGTATGTGAATTCAATTTTAGGAAAATTAGAATCCGGAAATATAACGAACATCTCGCAATGCATTTATACACAAGATATCTATAGTCCACAAGAAGAACATTTTGGTATCGGATGGTAGGTCTTATTGCTCATTTTTTAAATTATATTTGTATGTCAATTCAATTGCAGGAAAATAGGAATTAAAAAATGGAACGAACACCTCGTAACGTATTTATACACAAACATGCCGAGAAATCAAGAAATTCACACTAATTCTATCCTGAGAATATTTTCGAAAAACCGGGAAAAAATCATTCAAAGTCTGGGAGTGAATTATTCAAAAATAAAGGGGACTACTGGGATTATTGGGGTTGGGGCAAATTCATTGAATGGAGAACTTTGGAAGATAAATATCTGGATGATGGAAAATTGGAAGTGGAAGTTCATGTGAAAATAAATAAAATGGTTGGCTTTCCGGAAGAAACGAATGAATTTCCCAGAAAAGGCTTACGAAGTTTCGGAGAGGATATGAAACAATTCTCCAATGTCACATTGAAAGTAAAACTGGATCAGCGCAAAGACTCGAACACTTGCACGTTATCACTGCCGATCATGAAATCAACGAAGATGCCCTATTGAGATAGTTGCCTTCACTGTCACGCGACGATGGAAGTTTACCGTAACTCGAAGGACGGAATCAAGGAGTACTTTGCTACTTTTCTGATGAAGCAACTCGAACAAAAATCAGACTGAATCTTTATTGCTTACCAGAAATGCAATATATCTCTCTCTCTCCCGTTTACATTATCTCGTTTACGCTCTCATCACTCAACACCTTTTTATGTTCTTCACTATCCGACCACCGACGATTTCCCCCTCCTTTTTTTTGATTTCCCCCTAGTAATTTTTTATTCTACTCTAAGTTTTTCATTCCACTTTCAAACTCCGATCCACTATTCTCTCTACTTCTTATTGTAGCTGAATCGCATTCTGATGCCTGATTCTATCCCACCCTTCTCCCGAATCATTTTTCTGTTTGTGAATGATGAAATATTAGGTTGTTCCGAAAGTCTTTTACATTTTTTGACATTTTTTCAACACAAATTTATTAACGTATGAAATATTTCAGTGAGTAATATATTCAGTATTATGGTTCATTACAACCTGCCAACGTTTTGCTAAATGATCTAGATCTTTTTTTTTATTCCTAATGAATTGCGAACAAAGAACAATAATTCAATTGAAAACAAGTGCTTTTTTGAGAAGCTCTGCAAGAATTTTTGGATCCATTTCACTGGGATCCTCTGAAATAACTGAACTAATATCCGCTCTTGATTTGATTTGATCCAGACACATTTTCTGAAAAGATCAATTTTTTCAGATTAAAATTATCTTCTGAACACTCACTTTCAGTTCTTCCAACCTGTAACTTCCAGCCATTTCCAACTTTTCTTTCAATCCCTTTTTTGATTCCTTGACCAAAAATTCTTCACATTTTTTGACAATTTTAGGAGTGTCGAACATATCAGCCACTGATAAAATTCCTTGGACAGTATCATCTGAAATTGCTCTTTTCAAAATATACGGTAAGTACAGTAACCCACCATCGATTCCATTTTCTAGATGTAGAACTTCAAGATAGTATTGGAAGTCTTGAGGATTGACATCTTTTAATTCGATTTCTGATTTTTCAGATTCTTGAAATCTTCCCAAAAATAAAGTTGCAAAATATGGAGAATGAGAGGAGAGGTACTGAAAAAGTTGAATAGATGAAAATCAAAAACTGAAAAAATGACTCACCAACTTCAAAACATAGAATTTCCGCTCTTTTACTTTCAATGTGACATCGGAGAATTGTTTCATTTCCTCCCCAAAGCTTCTTAATTCTTCTCTTGGAAATCCATACATTTTATTTATTTTCACATGAAGTTCCACTTCCATTTTTCCATCATCCAGATATTCATCTTCCAAAGTTCTCCATTCAATAAAATAGAACCAACCCCAACTATCCCAGTCGTCCCCATTATTTTTGAATAAATCACTCCTAGACTTTGAATGATTTTTTCCCTTCTCAGGATATAATTAGTGTGAATTTCTTGATTTCCCGTCACATTTGCGCATAAAAACATTGCGAGGTGTTCGTTATGTTTCCGGATTCTAATTTTCCTAAAATTGAATTCACATACAAATATAATTTAAAAAATGAGCAATAAGACCTACCATTTGACTCCAAAATTTTCTTTTTTTGGACTAAAGAGATCTTGATTTTGCTCGAATTTCTCAACATCAGTGAATATATGTTTCAGAGTGAATTCTCTTTCAGTCATCTGAAAAAAAAAGTTTTCTGGAAAAGCTGAAAATTGAGAAAAAATATATATGAAAAAAAGCGAAACTGATAATATCAATGTTAAACGTAGAAAGTAGAAAGAGAACTGTGTAACCAAAAAGTGGGGGGGAAGGGAGAAAAAAGTTCAAAATTAGATACTTTGAGACAGTTTTTGAGAATCACAGGTAAATTTTTAAATCAGAATCATGCATTTTGAAGTTTCAGTTTTCCGATTTTGATTTTGATTTTAAGTTTTTAGTGCCCAGTTTTCTGATAATTCTTGAATTGATAAGATGAAAATGAGGTGTTTTGAAATTGAAAAAAAAAAGAAAATTGAAAAGAGAAGAGACAAACAATTGAAGAGTTAGCAAGGAAAACGGGAAATTTCAACACTGATAAGAATACAATTGATTTGATTTCATGACGTATTTGAACGAAAAGAAGTGAGAATAAATTTTTTAAAATAATTGTTTAAAAAGAGTTCTAGCATACCATATTACCCCAAGTTTTAAACTTTTGGGTGACTTTGGTTTGTAAGTAGCATATGATTGCAGTTTTGTTCATTTTTGAGCTTCATTTCTGATTTTGAAGATTCCAAGCTTTCGAATCTGAAGAAGAAAAAAACAATTATCGCGAAAGGAATTAACAAACACGCTATATCGAAAGACAATTTTTTAAATTCTTACTTAATAATTAAGCAAAAAAGAATCCGATATATTTTAGTTTTCAAAACCGAAATGAAAAAGAAAATTTTTGTATAAAAAAAGTTAAGACTAAGAAATTGTAATATTTTTTAAATGAAAATTAACACTTAGCAAGAAGAAACTGGTTATTAGAAACGAAACAGAGATGAGGAAGAATATTCTCCGCCTCCCATTGCTTATTATAAAATTCTAAAGATGTTTTTGTTTTTTAATCATAGCAAGAGAAAAAATACAAGTTTCTTAATGCTAAGTGTTAGTTGTTGTAACATGAAAAAGATGATAGAAAATTATTTTAATTAAAAATGGCTGCTTCGATTCGAGTCTTCTGGTAATAGCTAGACAACTCTCATTGAATGGTTTAAGAAAACATTGTTTTAGAAACGAACTCAATGCGCATCTTCATTGTCTCAAAGATTGTGTAACACACTAAACTATCAAGAGAGGATTCAGAAAAGTGAAAAAGAGCACCCAAATGTTACCACCGTATTTTTTTCAATAAATGTGGATGGTTTTCGAAAACGAGGATCTTCAAGGTAACAAAAAATACATGTTCCATTCCTAAATTTGAATTTATAGGGGCGAGTACTGGCCAGTTTTTCTGCCACTTTATGATGTTACGGGGTGAAGGAACTTTTCGGGAATACAGTCCTCATATGATGATTCTTGCTGCAATTATGCAAACCAACAAAAAGTTGTGGCCGACTGATTTTGTATCACTATTTGAGAGGATGAGGCTAGAACTGGAGTCTATCACAAAAGATCCTTTACAAATTATTTTTGACGGCGTAGTACATAAAGTTAGATTAGAATTATTTCAATCTATTCTGGATATGGACGTCAGACTGTTCCGTGAGTTCCAACAAAAATACTCATCTTGCAGGCGTCTAGAAAAATTTGCGGTTTGCCTTCGTGGCGATCTTATGGTGGTTGCGCATATTGCTCCGTTGAAGGGACTCCAATTAAAACGAAATCAGGAAGTAAAATCTGTTGGTATCCTAGCTAACCAGTTATTGAGTACAATTCGGATGATTCTCCCCCGAGTGAGTTTATAAGTGTTCTGTACGTGTATGGTTGAACACTTCTTTCCAGAACTCATCGATTCCTTCCTACCACCGCCGTATCACAATGGATTTGATGCACAAGATTAGAATGGGCGGTAGGCAAAAAAAACAACATGAAATATAAAAAATGCATTTTTTCAGAAAGCTCTAAACTCTGCGAAAATTCCACGAGGACAGACATCTGCTAGTTTGATGAAGCCTATTCTACGCGAACCGGGACAGAAGTTCAATGGGTTTATTTAGGAGGAAGAATATGTTGTGAATATAGAGATTTCAGCTGTACAACTTTGCCTTGCCGACTCTTATGACTTTATTTACCACACCGACTCAATGGCTTTGCCTGATCTTCCTACATTGGCTGACTACTCGCCTGGTATCAGATGTTCATCTTTCGAAAAAAGAATGCGAAGATATTGATGTATTGGCACCTCTTCTGAGCAACTACGTGGGAGTTAGATTTCCAATTCTGTACACAATGAAGTTCCATGTAAGCTTATGAGTGTGAAGAAGAAAACTAATTGATTGAATTTCCAGTATCTAGTGGATCATTTGGCAAAAAGAATCCGTAAGCATGGAAGTCCATTGCTCAGCAGCGCAGCTCCATATGAGCGGCAGAATCAGACGCTAGGAAGAAGCTCGAATACCTACACAACCCGGACTATGATTAATGTTTCAAGCCGCTTCATGGCCTTGAAAAGAGCAACTTTCTCATGTTTGGCAATTGTTGAAAATTGGAACAGTGATCTGAAGATGCCTGCCACAATGCAAGCGCTTGGAAAACATCTTAATGAGGCACCTAATACTGAAAATATAGACGACTGTCCGCTGGAAAAGAAAGAAGAAGAATATCTTAATCGATATATGAAAAATAAGCCGGTTTTTCGGTAACTTTCCTTCATACATGCTGGCAAATCCTTACAATTTTTAGATCCTCATGGTCCAATGGAAGAAAACAGTTTTCAGTAAGGAGAAAATGTAGTGATCGTCTCGTTCATAACTGCTACATTTACTATTTCAACAAAAATATGGATGTAGAATTCGGAAGTATCGAAAGAATTTTCATAGATGAGAAGGATCGATTTATGATTTTACTCCAAAGATTCGAAACCAGAAATCCATTTGATTATTTAACAACGAATTTAAGCAACTTTGCTCAGTGGCATAATTTGAAAATTGATTGGAACTCCTCTAACACCTTTTTCCGTCAAATTGTAGGCTGTTCTTATTCTATTGTTGACGCTCGTTATCTTGAAGGCTATGTCACAGTTCTTGAATTTTCCGGTTTCTCGTTTGTATCAAGAATTTGAATCATGTTCTCAAACTTTTGTTCTATTCAGTATTATTTTATGTGCTCGTTCCTTCTTTGTACCTTTACAACTTTTTAGGTCGGTTTCTAACCTATTTTTCAGAAAAACCATGGGTAAGAAAAAGAATGAAGTCACAAAACTTCTAGAAAGCTTTGGTGAAACCTCAAAAATGGAAACCGAGCGGAGCAGAAAAAGAAAAGGATTGCATAAGGAAGGTCCACAGCCAGAAAGAAAATTTGGAGCAATTATTAAGACCGAAAACACGAACATTTTTCGAGCATCGGAAAATAACAATCCAATTTTCAACAATCCCGAAGAAGCTCAAAAGAAATATCCGAATTTCAAACCGTATGATGTCACTCCTCTAGTTGACAAAGTTGTATCTTCTGACGAATCCTCAAACAACTCCGTAGAAATGGATGACAGAAACGAATCGGATTCAATGGATAATGCGAGAAATGTTCACCAAATGAGCAACAGTTCGTTCAGTCTGTCACAACACTTAGGAAAAAACATAAAAGAAGAGCCTCCGATTGGTAAAACATTTCCTTTTTTTCAAGGAATGTTTCGTTTTTTTCAGAGAGACTGGAGGCTGCCATTAAAACTGGAAACCCACTATCAATCGGACAAGTACTTCGCGAAGGATTTTCCAAAAAAACACTGACAGAAGTGCAAGTGGAGGTAGAATTCAAACTCATGTTTTATTTCTCAATGCATGGTTTCAGGAGCTGTGTAGAAGCGTCCCAAAACCAGCAATATCTCTTCTTCAGTTCTACAACGATTATGAACAATCTACACCAGAAGATCGTGCTGCTATTCCAATTGGGCAACGTCTTTTGGTGTGCAACTGAGTTTCTTTTCCGGTAAAAAACTTGTATACTTGCAGACCAAAATTGCAATGCTCGAAAGCAGATCTGTCGACAAGCTACAAGCATCCGTGAATTCGCTGGCATCTTCATTTGTTCAACATACTAAAGTTGCGATGTTGGTGAAAAGAACACTTCTAAGAACTCATACAACTGAAGCCACAGATAATTTTCCGAAAATTAAATTATCCGCAGCATATGCTCGAACGAATTTGATTGGAGATAATGGATTTTCACAAATGACGTACTTCTTGACCAAATTGTTTTCCAATGTGAGCATATTCAAGATTCCAGTTTAAAGTTAAACTTCAGTTGCTCACTCCCAATTATGCAATCTGGAAGTACACGTATAGACCAAGATGCATTAGACCCGCTGATAAGCATTTCGAATTGTTTCCAAAACAGATTGCAGACAAGCTTATTGGTAAAAGTCAATACTAAGCTAAATATAAATATCCAATTTTTTAGACTTCGCTTTTGACTGCATTGGAATTTACCTTCCCGATGACCTACTGCATGGTCCTATTGATCCATTGCACCCGTGAGAATATCAGTATTGTTTTCAATCAAATGCCAATGTTTCAGTTTTCTTGATGAGCTAGATGATGATTGCGATGCCACAAAAGAAGTCGAGAGACGTCGAGCCGAGAGTGAATTAGTCTCACAGACTATGCAATCAGCGATTGGTCACATGTTGTCAGTTTAATATATTAACCAAATCCATACGAACTTTGTTTTTAGGAACTACATTCGAGATTATCATCTTGATATTCGTACCGGTTCACTGGAGAGTTGTAAGGTTTGTTTTGACTGCTGCTTTGCTTATAAAATGACTTCAACTTCAGAACCGAAAAACCTGTGAAAACCATCTATCATGAAAAGACGTCAAAATATTCAGAGAAAAGTGTCGTGCTGAAAACAAAAATCCAGACGACTTTGAGCCGGCAGATCTCATTGGATTGTAAGCAACAATATAATCAATACAATTACTTTTGCATTTTTTCAGAGCACCAAAGTGATTACTACTGCCTAGTGAAGACTACAAGTGACAACTTCACATCATGATTCAACTTTCATCTAACACACAATCATTGTTTTTTCTTTTTTGTTGTTCGCTTCATTATCTTTTTTCTTCTGTCCGCTATTGGATTTTTAAAAAATAAATCCTATTTACCAAATTGATTTGGACAGAATTTTCAGATTTTTTTAGAGCCTACAGTCCGATTTCGTGTGAGCGACGCGTAACTTGCGCGTAGGTTTGGCGTCTTTTGGGCGGTCGCTGGGCGGCTTCTACAGAAAACTAAAGCGACATCCGCCATGACGCAGCTCAGAAGCCACTTTAATCCAGCCCAAAAGTTGCGGGCAACAGCCGAGTTTTTTGGTTATTCGATTATCTTTAAAAATGTTGGAAGATATATTCTGAAAATTCAGAATTCGCCGATGTTTCTGATTGACGCTTTTTCGTGAGAAACTGGGAAAAAAAATCGTGAGAAAACCCAAAAACTCTGATCGTTGATTCTCAAAAGATGACATGACTTTTTGAACTTTTCAGAAACATGTCTGTTCTTCTTCACTCATCACAATTTTTTGTTCCGCTTCGCTCAAAATTCAGTTTTTGACCGAAGAATTTTTTAAAAAGTGATATGGATCTTTGTAGTTTTTCTGTGACGGTATAACACCTGTTTTTGATATCACCCGCTTTCAGTAATTTAAGATTCTGATAAACCAAATGAATTTAAAGTTGAACTTTATTTGGACCGGTTTTTTATATTTATCGAATTTTCCGAGTTACAGATCTGCGATTAACAAGTTGCGTAAACTAAAAAGCAAAAAATGTCCAACAGGTGTAAAAATCCAAGAATCCAGACTCTAAAAAAAGTTTCCAAGAGTCAAAGATCTTAGTTTTTGTTTCCTAATTCTTGTTATCTGAAATAAACGCTTTTTTGGTTCCTCTTCGATTTTTTTTGCAATCAGTTAGTTAATATAATTCTATAATCTGATTTTTCTAAAATATGATTTTCTGCTTTTTTGCTGTTTTTTACAATTCATATATATTTTTTTTCAGTTCTAAAATGATAATTTACGTCGAAAGCACCTCTAGCACTATCTGGCTCCCCTTATACAGTATAAATGGAAACGTGGACAATTTCTATATAGGCTTAGCAATCTTAGAGCTAATTTCCTACTGTATCACTGCTTTACTAATTCTAAAGACTTGTATAATAGTTTTTAAATCCAAAAATTTCCATGAAAATATGAATATTCTATTCATCGGTCTAATTATTCAATGGTTCGAAGCATTCGTCTGTAAAGTTTTGGTTATGCCTTATCAAGTTGGCTTTTTACAAATTACCGAAAATTCTAGCAATGTTTATATCACTTGGTGGACAGCTGATACTCAAAATATGATTGATGTCCCTAATTTTTTCACCATTTTCCCTTTATTCCTTCCTGGTTTGCTAATCTGGCACTACGTATACTCAATGTTTATAGGAGTGACATGTGTGTCTATAGAACGGGTGTGTGCGACGTATTTTATCAGGTACAGTACTGGCCATAAAGAATGCGACAACTTGTTTTTTGACGATAACTTTTTGAAAACTCAACTTTTCAACTCGAATTTTTTACTGTAGACACATTGGAAAGTTACGAAAACTTGCGTACTTGGAAATTGCATCATCTTGCAAACAAAATTTTTTTTCAATTGTTTTCATTTTTTTTTCATTTTGCATATTTTTCATGATTTTTGGTTTTTTTAAATAAAGTTGAAAGACAACTAATTGGAATTAGTTTTAGTTATTGTTTTTCAGATATGGTTAGACCATTCGGGAAAAAATCCTTCTCTGTGGACGAGCGAAAAAGCATTGTGCGTGGTCATGAACTCGGCGCGCATCCGAAGATACTTGCAACTCAGTTTAGTTGTTCTTCCAGCCAAATTTACCGTATTCTGAAGAAAAATCGAGATGATGTGAGGTTTCAATCAGCTTTCTCAACTAAATTTAACAATTTAGAATGGCGTTGTTCATCGCCAATCTCCAGGAAGACCCCGAACCACTTCCAGAAATATGGATCGGAACATTTTGCGCGCATGCCGAGAAGATCCTAGACGCACATCTACGGATATTCAACTTTCTGTGACGTCTCCAAATGAACCGGTACCATCGAGAAGAACTATTAGAAGACGTTTGCAAGTTGCTGGACTGCACGGACGAAGACCAGTCAAAAAACCACTCGTCAGTTTGAAAAACCGAAAAGCTCGCGTTGAATGGGCTAAACAGCACTTGTCCTGGGGCCCCCGTGAGTGGGCAAATCACATCTGGAGCGATGAATCGAAGTTCAATATGTTCGGAACTGATGGTATTCAGTGGATTCGACGTCCCATTGGCTCCAGGTATGCTCCACAGTACCAATGTCCAACTGTGAAACATGGAGGTGGATCTGTGATGGTTTGGGGATGCTTCTCCGACACTTCTATGGGACCATTGAAGAGAATCGTTGGAACCATGGATCGATATGTGTACGAAGACATCCTGGAGAACACAATGAGACCATGGGCAAGAGCAAATTTGGGCCGATCGTGGGTGTTCCAACAGGACAATGACCCGAAGCATACTTCGGGTCATGTCGCCAATTGGTTCAGACGTCGCCGTGTGAACCTCCTAGAATGGCCAAGTCAATCTCCAGACTTGAATCCCATCGAGCATATGTGGGAGGAGCTGGAACGCCGCCTCAAAGGAGTCAGAGCATCCAATGCCAATCAAAAGTTTGCTCAACTCGAAGCTGCTTGGAAGAGTATCCCGATGACGGTGGTTCAGACGCTCCTGGAGTCGATGCCACGTAGATGCAAGGCTGTTATCGATGCGAAAGGATACCCAACGAAATATTAAATCACTTTTTATTGTTACCTTTATTTTGTTTTTGACCTCCGGTGTTTCTTGAGCTTCTTTGTATAGATCTCCAAAAATGTCATTTTCATGAATTTTCGAAAAAAATTAATTTTCAAAAAAATTGTAGCAGAATATTAAAACCAACTTAGCCTAAAAGTTTTTGATAGTGCTGAAAAAATCTTACCAAAAATTCGGATTGAAAAGTTGAGTTTTCAAAAAGTTATCTTCAAAAAACAAGTTGTCGCATTCTTTATGGCCAGTACTGTAAGTGATCAAATTAGCTTGCAAAAAAGAATCAAAAAAAGCAAACGAAAAAGGAATTGCTCCCGGTGAGGCTCGAACTCACGACCTTCAGATTATGAGACTGACGCGCTGCCTACTGCGCTACGGAAGCATCGATTCTCCTTGAACAAAAGGCGTACACAAGTGTGTTCATTTTTCACTTTTTTTCACAGGGACTACGAGCGAACACCACGAACCTATATCGGAGTGGGTCTTCTTTTTTCGGTTCATTGTATAAGTTTTCCGTTTGCTTATTTTATGGTCAATAATCGGATACCATTTATAATTGCGGATTCTTTATGTATCATTTGTGTTGTTTTTGTATGCGTGGTGAGTGGAAAGAAGAGGATAATTTTATAAAAAAAAAGGAAAAATTTCAGATATATTTTACGTTATGGTTCATAAATATTCAGCTAGGCAAGAGATTTTCAACTCCCGGTACTTATAGACTGGCTCAACAGTTTCAGGTCAAGGAGAATATTCGTCATATTATGGCAAGTTTCTAAAATTGAAAAAAATTGAAGGATAAACGTGACCTAGAAAATTCAAAAAACTAGGTCGTGACCTAGAAAATAAAAATTAGGTCGTGACCTAGATAATTCAAAAATAAAGTCAATTTTGAAACCATTTTTTTCAGCTAGCCCGAAATATAATCTGTTGCGCTACATTTTTTGTCGCTATTGCATGTGGATTGCTCATTACAATTGTGCTCGATTTGCTCCCAATTTGGCTCAAAAACCCGGTAGCACATTGTATAGAAAATTGCATATTTTTGTAAGGAAGTCTTATCTAAAATATAGATAGAGCAACAATTTCCAGAAACCCTTTGCTCATCTGTTCTGTGGCAATAATCAGTGTACCCTCATGGAAAAAGGAGTTTATTGAAGGAATTCCGTTTTTGAAGAAAATTCGAAATGAGCCGAAAAATTCACAAAGTGTGTTGAATCCGGAAGATGAGACGAGAGAATACTTCAATCAGTTGAGAAATGCATGGCTGTGAAAACCTTGAATAAATATGTTATAGTCTTATTTTTCCACTATTTAAGGGCCATCAGTAAACTACAGAACTCTAATTTATAGCACCGGTCAATAAGATGTAAAAAACTTACTTTTAGTTAATTTTTACAGATTTTTTCCTAATGAGTATGAGCACTACGATATTCAGATGACTTTGAT